GTACCAAATATAATCTAGTATTAAGACTCTGTGTCGTCTCGTGCAACCCGACTAACGTTTACTATGTACAAAATTTACCAAACATTCATATTGCTATATACTAGAAGGTCGTACAGAAATCTCTATCAAAGTGTCTAGAAGAATACTATTTACACTGTTCGCGATTTCATCAGAGGCTTAATCGTTTAAAATAACGTGCACCTAAATGTACATTCCGAGACGTTGCATTAAACGGGGATTCAGCATGCTCGCGAAATCGTCGACTCCGACTACGTTGGAGTCATCACTGAAAATTGATTCGCACGCGATCTGTTACGTGTAGTCGCGTGCACCGTCCCGAATTAACGTATTGTCCTACCACCGTAGAATTGCACGAAACCCCATTGTGTTTGAGTGTGAACGCACGGCTCTAGTTTCTTTACCCCTGATAGAAGAATCAAATTTGAAGCCTGATACGCCGTGTGGAAGGGTATGTGTGAATGTGTATGTCGTGTAATCTCACTCCGTCGGTTTGTGCATACCCCGCGAAAGAACCAAGGTGCAAGAAGCGAAATCGTGTGCGTGGAGGAGTGAGTAAGTACATAGAATCGTGTCTTATTATATCACAGATTTCCCAAGGTGCGTACCGCTCGATATTGCATCTATTAATAAAAAGTAAAAGAAGATTATCTCGCAGCGTTTGTCCTCGAACGCGTCAGTCAAAACGAGGAACGCAACGATCGGAAATAAGAACGATTACTATACTTCGAGACACGATAACGTCTATACCGCTGGACCTATCGTTGTCTCGTAGCGAAATTCCGTGAATTATCTGAAACACGATGCGTGTGCGTCAGATATTTCTACGAAATTTCTCACCCTCTAAGTCGGAAAGCAACGTAACTAGCCGTGCATCGCATGAATAAAAGAGCTCGTTCGAAATATAAAAACCGCACTGTCCCATCTCGCGTCAGTGACTCCTGTCGACGAGAAGTGGTGGTCATACCTGAAACGTTCGATCCGAGTTTTCGGGTGTAAAACGCACTCCTGATTCTCATACATAATCTATACATAGCAATATTCTACAAATATACATGATATTATATAAGTACGTATACAAAAAGAGAAGAAACGCGTAAAAGATCGCGTGCCCAAACATGAGACGAATACTGTGTATACGAGCACGTAGGGTGTTATTAAAAACGTGGTACCCTCCCGCGTTCCACATTTTTAGTAACAGCCTTCTCTGGGATATCGCAGGAATTCGCAGGATCATTAGTTCCCCGATCGTCATCGGCCCTCAACGCCGTTGTCGTGTGCCACCGCTAAAAACAAAAAATAGGAGCCACCTGCAGGTACTTTTCGCGCGACGTTTACTTCCGGGATCCGTTCGCTGCTCCGTTGTCGAGTGGCTAACAAATCGGAGCGTCCGTTATTCTGCCTTCGCCCCCGTTCCCGTCGGTCTCCTTTTCCCGTGTTCACCGTCAAAAGCTGGAAGCCCGACCCAGATGCAACAATGTCGTGGCGCGTTGGAGAGGCGCTTCAAGGCACTTCGAGGCCGTCTTTACGCAGCTGTCCGTATTCCGCGAGTCCCGTTGCAACAGGCCACCCTGAAGAGTTACATGACCAAGAACAATTTCGTGTTCTGGACATCTGCAATTCTTTGCTCGCTCTTTTTTTTCCTCTTCGTACACTACACATCGCATTCTCTCTAAGTTTATTGTCTTTTTCTATTTCGTTTCTCTTCTCGTTTTGTGTATATTCCCGCCCCTCCCCAGTTCCTATTGTGCCCCTGACTTCGCTATTTACTCTCTTTGTATTCCGTTTTCGAGGAACCAAAAGACGCGGCGTTTCTTTTCTAATTTTTATGACGGCATCCTAAGCGGTCATACTGTACTGTACTCTGTCTACGTACGGAGTCTACGTGCGCACCTGGAGCAACATGTTGGCGAAATTGCTGTTGGTGAACTTGAAGTGTCGCTTATCGTAGAACTTTAACAAGGCCGGGCTGTACGGATGCTTGTCTTTCAGATGAAGGTAATGAACTTCCGGCTCCTGCGTCGTGTGACCACATTCTTCGCATACGTATACCTAAGTAAACAGACAGAAACCACTGATTTAATTTGTTGCTCGATAATTCGTAAAACGGTTATATGGTCCGGATATATGGAGCCATCACTACCGATTCTCCGAAATACTCGAATTTTATTTATATTTATTCTTCTTCTCTCTATACATACTGAGGAATTAGTTTGATACTCATGACGATTACTCAGACAATTTTATTAGATGACAGTCTGCAGTTTTTGTTTAAAATATTTTCGCTAGATTACTGTAAATTGTTTTGTTTCCTACCTTTGTGCGCCGCTCCTTGTACGCGTATTGGTGCTGAACACCGTGCACCTTGAGGCAGTGACTTTCCAACGAGCACCTCTGCGTGAAACTCTTCTCACACAGATTACATTTGTATGGCCGGACGCCTGTGTGCGTCCTGGTGTGCCTCTTCAGGTCAAACGTGTCGTTGAAACCCTTGCCGCAGAACGTGCAGAGATAACGTTTCACGTCGCTGTGACATTTCATGTGACGGTTCAACAACCGCTGCAGGCTGAAGTTCTTACTGCACACGCGGCAAGTGAAACGGTTCGGATCATCGTCCTGAGAACAGGCAAAAGAAATTGGATTCGTTTACAAAACGTTTCTCGAAGCGTCTATTACGGGTATGCAGAACAGCGCGCATAAAATATGTAACAGGTAACTGGAAATTTAATCAGGAACTGGGATCTAGGCGTGTAGGAGAAGTACTAAAGTTCGAGGAATGCTAATTGCCAATAAAATATGCGACATGTGATAGAGGAACAACTTTGAAGAATGAGGTTCACCTTGCCGGGTGGAGGTCGGGCAGCCCTCTCTTCCTCCCTATTGGCCGCTGCCTGTCTCTGACCCTCGATCGCCAAGGGATTTTTAATTCCGTGACCGCCGTTCACAAATTCTAGTTGGCAGTCACCGGGTAATCCCAACTGTAACGATAATACACGGTTAAAATTCATCGAGAAACTTGGATAGTAAAATCGGTGATACTGGATGAAGCACTCAATTTGATTGGCATTGCATAATTGTGTGACCGCGTAAATGATTTGTAACTTCTTCAATGACTATATGGCAGTATTAAAATAATCTGAGAACCTGATGTAACAAGAATACGGAGTTACAAGAAAACGAATTTGGTCAACAGTGCCATATAGATTTATCGAATCGCGAGAACGAAGTTAAGTATGCTTTTGCCTGGATCAATCTCGGGTGCTTACCCTTTGCTGAAGTACACCGACCCGTTGCGTCAGCGGAGGTTCACCGACCGGACCTGTCGGCTGGACACCGTTCACCGAACCCGAGGTGACCGTGGCAGCAGGACTGGGCGCGTGTTCCATTAGGGCACAGGACGGTGACGTGCTGGTCGACGCCGCGTCCAACGAGCAGCTCGCTGCACCCGGGCTTGGCAGACTTCCGCCCACGCTGCTACCTGAATCTAGTTCCAAACCTTGAAACGACAAGTGCATATTTCAGACTAAGTCGAATCTCCCATAGCCGACTCTTTGACGTTTCAAACAAACGTATGAAGTCAAAAAGCCGAGCTGGACTTATCAATTAAATAGCATTTGTACAAGTTGTTTCATAAAGGATGAAACGGAAGGAGTAATAAACACTAACCACTACCGGTGAAACTTAATCCGGGACTGAGGAGTCCTTGATGCTGCTGGTGTGGCGAAGTGGCCGTATTCTGTTGCTGTTGCTGCTGCTGCTGCTGCTGCTGCATTTGCACCTGTATCTGCAACTGCTGCAGCTGCGGCTCAGACTGGTGTTGGTGGTTCTGGTTAATATGGAGTGCCATATCCTGGCGCTCCTTGGAGACCGACTGATAGGTCGTCTCGCCGGTGGCATAATTCAGTCCTAGTTTCGAGGTGCTGAAATGTTGAGGAGCTGCCGTGTAGTGCCTGAACAGAGACCATTGTTTATTCACAGTACTTCACGATCGGCGAGCGACTTTCGATATCTTGCGATTCGTATATCACCGTCACCGAGGGAACACGTCGATCTTTCGCTCAGTCTTCGCTCGAAAGAATCACGATCCGTAAAGTGTAAACGGCGTATCGCGTGCGAACATCGATAGCAACTCACGGTATTTCGATTGCGACTTACCTCGACGTATCGAATCCTCTGGTCAAGGCCATGCTGTGCTCGGGAAAGGGATCAACGCTCGGTTCGACGGGAGTAGTCATTTGGCCGCCGTCCTGCCCGATACCACTCCCAGCCGAAGCTGGCGAGTGCAACGATTCCTCCAGGAGATCGTTACCGCCGTCTTCCGCTGGTAGCCTCGGCAAGAACAGATCCGCGGCGTCGCTTAAGCTCTCCAGCAGAGCATTGTGATCCGAAGGCGAGCTGAAAGTCAGCGTGGCGGTGAACTGAAGGGGATCCACTACGGCGCCCGTCACCATGTCCACCATCATCCCTGTGTCCGTCATGTCGTATGCGCCGTACTGCCCGGACAGCAGGTCGTTCGCCTGGATCTTGTACTGTGTTAGATCTTCCTCCTCTTTCAGATTTAAACCGTAGGACGCGCAAACGTTTTGCAGTAGAGAATACTGCTTGCCCTCTTGGGCGTTGTACTGGGAATGCTGTGAATTTACATCCTGCTGGCCAGTGTCGCACTCCATTCCAACCGTCGGCGACGGTGCCAGGTACCCGTTTCCTGAAATGATTCGTTCGTCCACTTATTGTAGCTCGTTGAACTTCCCAATATTCCGGCGGTACATAGACTACTTGATCGTGTAAAATTTTAATGTTCAATGACACTGTCCAAATTGAGATGATGATTTTTAAAACACAAGACAAATTCTTATTTAGATTTTATTTTCTACGTTTACAGTACAAATGATTTATTTTACATAAGGATCCGTAGTTTAATTATCATATACAGATATATACAAATAAGAAATGGAGCTTCAGATTTTAGTAATTCCTTTATTTTTTATTTTTGACTTATTTTAATTAGTAGTCAACTTTCACAATTTTTCCCGCAAGTAGCCAAACTGTATATTCAGTGGAATCGTACATCGAATCAATGGAATAAGTAGTATTAATTAATAAGAGAATCGTACATACCTTGAGTGCTGTTGTACTGATTGGCAAAGTTGGCTAGGTTGTTCCCGCCCTTGAGCGACTCGTAGAAGGGCGGTAGGGAGCCGGTGGGCGGCGAGCTCGGGCCATAGTTTCCACGGCCTCCGTTTCCTCCAGGATTCATGCCACCTCCGGCACCTCCGCCCACAGCACCGCCGCCGCCGCTTCCTCCCGTGACCGGACCGCCTCCGCAGTAGCTGCCGCTTCCGCCGGAGCCCGACGACGAGGAGCCTGCCGAGCCGCTGGACCCGCCGCTAGAACCAGAGCCCGAGCCGCCGTTGTTTCCGGAACTGGAGGATCTCCCGTGTCCGGCGGCCGCGTGGACCACTTGCGGACCGGACAGTCTCATGGCCAACAGAGGCCTGGCGATCGAGTTTCCGATTGCTCGCGATACTTTCGCGCCTTCGCGGCCTCGCTCCTCGTCCTCTTCCTTTCTCTTCGGCACCGCGTAATCGATCGGTTGTTCCTGCGAAGATAACAAGATCAACGTCAGAGGATTTCACGACCGGTATGCAATTTATTCCCGTTTCTCCATCTCTATTCATGAAATTCTCCTCATTGTTGCTTTTACGAAGGACATACTCCACTTAGTTGTTAGACTAGTTAAGGTGCCTCTATTAAAATTCTCAAGTCAAGTGAACGTCTATACTAAGAATTTCCAAAATCATTACTAGGATTTACAAAATTAGATTATGATTTTTTAAACACATTAAAACAGTTACTTGAATATATAGTCAAAGTACGAAGAAAATGACTCACTTTAAGAGTCGAAAAAAGGTGTAACACGTGGATGAGGATAAGGTTACCTGTTCCGGTTCCTGAGTCTGTGGCACCTCGATCTTATCCTCCCTCCTGGAGGACGATTGGCTGGGAACCCTTTGGATAACCGAAACCCTGGTCGGTGGTTCGGCCCGCGGCGTTTTTGGAGGTGTACTGGGTCTCGGTAGCACCAGCTTCTCTGTTTTCGTAAGGAACTGAGCGTCGTTTGAGGAAGGCGCGATCGGCGGATTACTATACTCCTTGCGTTCTGCCCTGGTCAGGACATGCCCTCTACTTCCGTATGGAACGTCGCCGCCGAGGATGCTCGAGATGAACCGTCGTGGTAGCGAGCCACTAGGTATGTTCGCCGATTGCCACTGCGGGGGTGGCGAAGGCGCTGGACTAGTGCTGCGGACGGATTCCGGCGTTGTTGCTCGATCGTCATCTGGTTTGTCCCGATCTGCACAACAAATTCGAATTTATTTGAATAAAATTTATTTGTCTCATTTCATAATTATTTAGCATAAGTCTACGGATGCAATTGAAATCGTTGGATAATTGTTCATTGCCATTAACAGGAAGCGAAGTACGAATCTTTTCACGTGAACGATTTGTTAAACACGTCATAAAAAATCGAGGCACTCGCACGCGAGGCATGTGTATGGGGAATTAAAATTCGCAAATTTAGTTCGGCTCGGCTGGCGACGAAATTTCAATGCCCCACGCGTCTGGAATACGTAATGAGAGAACGGTTACAATATGGGTTCTCCTCGTGGAGGCAGGATAGCTGAATTTACGAGCAACCTTGGGAGGGTTCGTAGGTACCGTATGCCACGCTCTTTCCACGCGTCCTTCACGCACCGTCTCGTAATTCGTCCTTCATTCCAAATCAAACCGTTCAAATTTTAATCACAGTTTCAACAGGCATATCAAAAAATTCAATGTGCACAAAATATAAAACATGTGCGACGCATGTATAGAATATCCGGAACAGAATGATTAACACTACGTCTGACAGTTTTTGTATGTGGAAACACAAATTTCATTTTCTTCTTATTTCTTGTAGAAGAATTTAAAGACGGTGATTCGCATGGTAGATTTAGTATTGAATCTATCCAAATATTATTCTTCAAATTGATATCATAAGTCTTATTTTGCATAAAAGAAACATTCATTGTAAAAAATAGAATTAAAAAATCGCTTGTATCGAATATCTTGAATAGTTCAAATATCAAAGCAACTAGGAAAACATAATATCGTGATATTATTCCCAACGTCAGTTGTAAAGTCATATGGTAATCGCAGTACCTTTGTTCAAACACAATTTCGCCACTTTTATCTGAATCTATATAGGTATCCTATTTTATAGTTGGCGTTTCCACATTCTACACCTCGTTCTGAACGCATATAATATTCCATTTTATAGGGTCAGATATAAAACAGCGACATCCTACTAGGAACAAGTGAAACCTTCACGTCTCACTTTGTTCTCGCAGTTCTTTTATAGAAAAATCTCATTTGTACTAAAAATTGCTCGTTAAACGTAAGAGTGTAACCTGTAGATATTTACAAAACATTAAAAGTATAATACATTCTATACATTATTAGTTCTTAAAGGTAAACTGAGTTCAGATTTAATTTCCTTTGCAATAAAAAATGTTTGTCGGAGACACGTGGAGCGATCCTGGCAAGGCCGAGCCAATTACACGTGGTTCGGAGTCGTTTGATCGTGCGACTTGCAATTCTCTCCCATTACATCGGGGCCCACTCTCCCCATTCTCCCGCGCTCTCTTGACTTTGACATCGACTCGGTTTCGCGAATGGAGCACGAGGACGTCGTGTCGAAGCCGCTCGAGCGGAAATCAGGAAATCGACCGCGAGGACGCCGGTTTTTGCACGTGCCACGGGAAAGCCTTTTCCGCTTTTCGGTTTTAACCAAATCGACGAGCTTCAAAGAATCCAGATTTATACTAATTGTTAGTGTAAGCGTGTGTTGTAACACAGACGAATAAAAGTCTCCTCTATCTGTTGATTAAGGATGTATTGGCTATACAGTCAATCCCAAAAGTTTATGTACTTTAAAAAAACGCATTTCCTATAATTAAAAA